CCAGGGTAAGTTAGAGGACATGTCCAAGAACCTCAGAAATAAAAAAACAAATCAATGAAAATAAGAAATGTTCTATAATAAAAGACTAGTTTGACTGAAATATCTCTAATTCAGATTAGGAACTAAATGAGTTTTATTAAGAACTGGGAAGCTAAGAGCAAAATTACAAAAATGTAGTTGCTGGTCGTATGCACTGAAAATGCTTAGATTTTTTTTAATTAATCCTGAATAATAATATTTGTTGGAATGATGTTTGCTAAGGATGATATACTTACCAAGTAGTTTTGATTTCAGAGATAAATGTGGCCCATTGCCCTTGTCTCCTAAGCAAAAGGCTATGTTTTCCCGGTGGGTACGGCCAAATGATATAACAAATAATCCCACTATGATCTATACTGTGTCAAGCTTCAGCATTAAACAGGTAAACATGATTTTTTTTTTCTGTTTTCCTTTTTATGGCTTGCCTGCAAATTTGCTTTCTAATATATATTGTACACTTACAGTTTTGTGAACGTTTAACAATTAGAATTGGGATTTGCAACTTCATCTCTAATCAACATGATTTTTAAGTTAGACAACATGTGACCATTAACTTGTGATTTTACCATTGCTTTTCCATTAATTCTGCTTTCAAAAGCTAGCTGTGAAATGCACAAATAGAAATCACATGATAGGAGACTTCAGCAACCATAAATGCTGGTTGCAAAAGCACTGAATTTCAATCACATGACTATGGAGATATTACAATGGCATAAGTGCAAGGACACATGGTAAAGTTATTTTTTCAGCATCATTACAACTTTGAACAGTCGCTAAACAGGGCAGCCACTAGGTAAGATGTACTTGTAACTTCACCCATATTTGTTTTTTCTGGAAAAAGAAAACTGGATGTTGCCTTATTTTGTCTCTGTCTTACATACTCTGTCTGCAAGCCCTACAGCCTCAAGTGTCTCTTCGCTGATCTTATCATCATCCTGTGTTAATAGGTTATGGGAATATTGTCCAAAAGTACAACTGCCATTCCATTTGCAGTATCAGACCCATTAAAACCACTTGTCTTGTGACAAGGAAGGAGAAGAGTGGAAGAGAACTAGTGACAAATGTTATCATTAAAACACATTGAGAATATTTTTGAATTCAGTTTGAATCTGTCAGAATTGACAGGTTCCTAACTCAACTGAGGAATTAAAAATAGCCTTGTGTTGGATCAAAGTTGTCTCTGCTGAACTGTAAGAACTAAATTCCTGAATTCTGTTTGTATTTATTACTATGTTTGGTTCTTAGACAGTTGTATCAGATTGTTCCTTTGTTGCTTCACTTGCTATCAGTGCAGCTTATGAGAGAAGATACAACAAGAAATTGATTACAAGGTACACTTTTTTCTGCTCAATGACATGCGGTTGTTTTCTTTAATAATTTTATTTGTTGCCAGTAGCACTTAATTTGGGATACACTTTATTCTGATTTAAACTTACTTTAGAAGTTTAGATAGTTTCAATTTTAGATGATAGTTTCAACATCAAATTATCAAATTGCTTTTTCATTTATTGTATACATTTATTACTGGTCAAGTGATAAACGAAAGAGATTAATCATTCAAAAGTAGAATGCCTTAGTAGCAGAAAACTTGGCTGTAACATTATTCTGTAAATCTGTTGTAGAAAAAAAGTGACTTTGTGTAGGAGGTTCTAGGGTACTCATTGTGAGTTGTTTCATAAATATCACAAATGTTTTTCAATAGATATTTTCATACTTGCATTCTAAATTTCACTCAGACAGGGAGGGAGGGGGAAGGAGGGAGAAAGGGAGAGAGAGGGAGAGGGAAAGAGAGCGAGTATTTGCTTTGTACAGTCTTGTGAGTATTGTCTTGTTCCCCATTCTACAATGGGAACCTAAACTAGCGTTTCTCAATCTGAGGAACTTTAAGATAGGTGTTCCTATTCTGGCTGGGCGAATTCTGGGAGTTGAAGTCCATCCATCTTAAAGTTCCTAAGACTGAAAAACACTGGACTGGTTATAAGGTTTAATGTTAAATTCCTGCATATCAGTGGCAATATCTGAATTCTAAGTGTAAAACACTTAAGGATAAATCCACTATAATTTATAATCCATGTTTAATTTTTAAGTTATTTAATTGGATGATGCTATCATTTTGTTAAAAAAAGTTTTCCCATAAAAGTAAAAAGCAATAATAATCTATATTTACTATTAAGTTCTTCTGATAAGTGCTATCTTTATGCTTCATTTTACTTTTTCATATAGTATTTTCATTTTAAATATCTCCTAGTGAAATTTCCTCTCTTAAGTTTTTGTTTACTGATATAGATCTTAAATCAGGGTTCCCCGGGCCACAGCCCATTACTGGACCGTGGCCTGATCGGAACCAGGTTGCGCAAGCTACAGATGAGCACGCACAGAACTACACTTGCACAAGTGGTTCACATGCATACATGCTCACATGCATAGCTCCATTTGTGCAAGCAGTAGGTACTGGCATTTGTGTGAAGCTCCACTTGTGCAAACAGTGTGTGTGTGTGTGTGTGTGTGTGTGTGTGTGTGTGTGTACCACTTGCACAGTGGAATTGCTCATGCACGTGCCTGTCTCTCACACTAAGCCATCCCCTCTTCTACATTGGGCTGCCAAGCTGGAAAGGTTGGGACCACTGGCCTAAGTGTTGTATTTATATGTAGTATAAATGTATACAGAATGTAGTCTAATTTTGTTTATATGTTTTTCTCAACATAGCATCATTTACCCACAGAATAAAAAAGGAGAACCAGAATATAATCCATGTGGAAAATACATGGTCAAGCTGCACATCAATGGTGTCCCTAGAAAGGTAGAGATTTAAAAGTTCTACAAGCCCTCTATCCCATCATCCATTGGGTTTCTAACAGTTTTATTGTAGTTTGCTTCTGCACACCTTTCTTTTGTAGTAATTTCCTTAAAAGTCTTACTAAAAGAATAATGGTTGCAGCTTTGCTTTGCATATTGTTTGATCTTGTTCCATCTGTTTTGAGCAGGTGGTCATTGATGATTTGTTACCAGTAGATCACAATGGAGAACTTCTCTGCTCCTATTCAAACAACAAAAATGAGCTCTGGATATCATTGATAGAAAAAGCTTACATGAAAGTCATGGGAGGTTATGATTTTCCAGGTTCAAATTCAGTGAGTATTATGTGATTCTTGGCAAGATGTTAAAAAAGATTGTAGTCCCAAAAAAGTTTGTTGAGAAAGGTTGAGAGTAGTGAGAATACTTTCATCTATTTGAAGCCTGTGGATAATATATGCTTTTTTCTTATGGTTTTCTTTGCTTTTTTCAGTAGGGCAAATAATGTATCTTGGAATTAACCATATTTGGAATTGGCATCAGTATTTTGGTGCCCTCTGCAAATACGAGAAATTTTGATAGCTAATACTGAGTTGTAAAATAAAATTCTAGAAACAAATTTCCTTCTCTCTCTCTGTGTGTGTAATGAAATTCTTTTGGCCTTATTACAATCATATTTTAAATTTATTCTCTTTAATTGTCAAAGAACCATTATATTCACCATCCAACAAAGAAGAAAAAAGGAACTAACTCAAGTAATACAGTTCTTATTTGAAAACAGTTCTTATTTTGAAAACTATTACAAAATGTAAGATTACTATTCTGTTTTCCTTATGTGCCTACTTTGGAGAAAAAAGGGATTTTACATAGCTGTGGAATTATTATTGAAATGTATGGTTATCAAAAATTGTCTTTCCTGGAAGTATGATTTCATTAATCTGAAGTATGCATGTTTTGTTGGTGATGACAGAATATTGATCTTCATGCACTGACTGGTTGGATACCTGAGAGGATTGCCATGCACTCAGACAATCAAACATTTAACAAGGATAGTTCCTTCAGAATGCTTTACCAAAGGTAACGTTTGCTTATTTTCAAAAATGTTGCCACAGTCACAGTGTTGTAAAAGTTCAACGTTTTGTTTATTTATAATGAACCCTAGTTTTTGTACAACTTCCAAGAGAAGCAGTGCCTAGAGAGTAAATGGTTGAAGAATGAAATTTATTGAGCAAAGATACTTGCTAATGCAACTCAGAAATCTTCCTGAATTTGTGGCCCCTGTTGAATCTGGAAATGGAAGCCATGGCCAAGGGAGTTTTTGTCAAGCTCCATGTAATGCGCTATTTATGGCCCAACCTCTAATGAGGAAATCTGGCTACAGTGACTCATGGCTCAATCACCACTCAGTTGACCTAAAATGCAGCACCCCACATATTACCTTGCAGTTATTCAGTGGAGTATATTATATTTGTAGTTACCAACACCTGTACAAGTCCTTGAATTGGTTTTCTCTTGGCTTCTACATGCAGTTGGTGTGACTGGTGTTAACTTTAAACCTGTTTATATCTTGACTCCAAGCTATCTTCATGACTGTTGTTCCACTAGAAGTGGCCTGACTGAGTCTTATCTTTCTAAGAAAAGCAGCTTCCCCATTTGGGAGAGATATATGGGGCAAAGACCCAGAGATGTAGTCCTGAAAGTAACATCTATGGGACAGTTTGAGGCAGAATTATAAACAGGATCAAAGAATCCAGTTCCAGGTGTGAAGATAAAAGTATGCTATGTTTAATATTCCAGGATTCAGTTGCCATGGATTGACATAATGCAGTGGTCCGCAATCTTTGTGGCTTGACAGCCTGGCCAGGGGTGGGGGAGAGGAATTGGACCGCCGCCCAGAGGTTGGGGACCCTGACATAATAGACTGGCTAAATTAGAAATATTGAGAAATGAGAGAGAGAAGTTTATTCCATTATTTCCTAGAATTTTCTTGAACATCAGTTCTGTTATCAGTTCTGTTATATGCATGTTATATGTTCCAAATACTATCTGTTTTTTTCTTTAGAAAACTAAATAGGCAAGCATTGCATGGGGAAATATTAGCAGCCAAGTCTAAAGTAAACTTTTTGTTTTTGGTCAGATTTCACAAGGGGGATGTGCTTATTACAACAGCCACAGGAGTGATGACTGATGAAGAAGGGGAACGTTGGGGTTTAGTACCAACCCATGCCTATGCTGTTTTGGATATTAGAGAATACAAGGTAACTCTGAAATAAGAATCTTTGGACCTACTCTTAAACTGACATGGTTTGCATTTTTTTTTAATATGATCTCTTCTTTTAATCTGCTCAAAAATTAGTGGAAGAAAAACTTTGAAAAATCTGTCCAATTAATATTTTTGATCCCACAGTGGGATTAAAATGCTTAAAATAATGGAATAATGTTAGAGAGGTAAACAATAGGAGAGGTGAGACCTTAGTTCTTTCTTTGAAGACATTGGAACCCTTCTTCCTCATCCCCCTGAAATTTGGTGAGGAAACTTTCAAATTTTCAGTACTTGTTAGAAACAAAATAAATCTCAAGTTGTTTTCATATACAGAATGTCCTTAATATAACCTGAACAAAAAAAAAGAAAAATCTTAAAAACATCACTCTTGCTTTCTGTGATATGCATCCTCTCTATAGCCCTCACATGACTCATCCATGGTCCTTCTCGTTTATGGTGGTTGGATTCTTTCAAAAACGAAGAATTGCTTGTTTCAGATACTGCAATATAATGCTTTTAAAAATCTGATTTTACCCGGTCATTTAAGGAATTAAATGGCAGAGAGAGAAACAAGATAGACACCTTTATTGTAATCCATGATTAATATTAATGACATTTTACTTATTTCTTTATTCTCAAAAAGAAATGTATTATAAAGTCATATTTTGTGTCTCCTCTTTTTCAGGGTCTTCGCTTTCTCCAGTTGAAAAATCCCTGGAGCCATCTACGTTGGAAAGGGAGATACAGTGAAAATGATATCAAGAGCTGGACTCCTGAACTTCAGAAATACTTAAACTTTGATCCCAGAACAGCTCAAAAAATAGACAATGGTAAAAGATCAGAATGATTTTTGAAAGAAAAAAACAGGGCTACAAATGATTTGTGGTCCAAAAGAAAAACAGCAGAGATGGCAGAGGAATCACATCTCTCATCAATCTGAAATAGGATTATTATCAAGGATGGTCTTTTGCAAGACAGTAAAGCAGAGTTGTCTGAATCATTGAATGAATGTTCTGCTCGATAACTGTTTAAAAACACGTTGCAGGACTAAAATTTACCAGTGCTGTTAATGACATATGATAACTAGTGCATATTTACCAGAGCTAAACAACACTGAAGTAGTGACATTAACATTGGAGTAATTGTAAATAAGAAATTGTAACTTCAAAGGAAAGTTTTATCTGGATAAAGTTGTTGATCGGATGGGTGAAGTTAATGCCACTGGGCATTTTAGATTTGGCAAAGGAAAGGTAGTGAGAGCCAATATAGCTTATTTTATCATAGCAGCTAAAGAACTTATGCATGACTGAGGAGTTCACAAAGTGATTTAGAGCTAGTCCTGCTTTTGTTCATTCTAACTTAAACTTTCTAATCTCACATATTTAGAGTGAAATATAAATGTAGGAAATAAGACAATGCAAGAAAAGTGATGAATTTTGTTTTATTAAAATTTGGGATCAGTGCTCATCAGTTTTAAAAGATCTTGATAACATTACAGATAATTTCTTCAGTTGTAAAAACAAAACAAACATTGAAATGCAACTTAGTTAAGTACTAAACTGAAACATACTGCCACGTTTGAATAGGTGGGAAATTGTAGGCTATTTGATTTAGGAATTTCTCAGTACTAATATATAGTACAGTTTTGCAATAGTGTGCATGCATTCTGGGAGTTCGTTTCATTGAATTCTGAGGAACTTATCTTTAGGTAAAAATGCCAAGATTGCAGTATCATTGCTCCTTTTTTCCTACCATTTGATAATTTAATATTCAATCACTGGTATTGGATGATAAGTCATTGGTAAAAAAAAATTAAAACAGTTTCATCTGTATGTTTTTATATAGGAATTTTCTGGATTACTTGGGAAGACTTATACAAATATTACGATGTTATTTATTTGAGTTGGAATCCAGGTCTTTTTAAGGAATCCACCTGCATTCACAGGTTTGTCCAATAGGCATGTTAATTTGTTAGCCTCCCTTAGCATAATGTTCAAGTATTAATCTGTGATGCCTTTCTTTACATTTTGAAGCCTGGTCCAAGAATAAATAATTCATGTGTAACCTGGTGAAAAGTAATACCATTACTTTTTGAGCATTTATAAACTAAGACTAGTACATCTGCAGCTGTTTGCTTTATTACTTCTCCCTAGTATTTCATGCTAATTTGCAAGACCAAACTGAGAGCAAATGATAGCTTTCACTAAAAGAAAGTATTATAATTGTTTATTGCAATTTTTTTAAATACACAGAACTCTATTTCCATTTTTTTTCTTTTATGAACAGTACCTGGGATGCAAAACAGGGTCCTGTGAAAGATGCTTACAGTTTGGCTAATAATCCACAGTACAGGCTGGAGGTTCAGTGCCCACAGGGTGGTGCTGCAGTCTGGATTCTACTCAGTCGACACATTACTGACAAGGTATTCATTTTTCCAAATAACTTGTAAGGGAAACAAAATGCGGCTCTAAGATATGGGTGTTCTTTATGACAATTGAACTACCAGAATTACAGCTCAAAATATATTAGATGTGTATCTCCATCTTCTGTGAGTTGCCGTGTTCTTATGCCTGATCACACAACACTGTCCAATCATAGTGGTACTTCACTAACTGCTTTGTAAACTAGTCATGAGCAGAAAGAAGAAACTGGGATCCTTTAGCATTCCATCCCCACAAGGATAACCAGGTTTTATCTCATTTTGGATTCCAATAAGAGTTCAGTGGCAGTTGATAAAGATTTGGCATTAATATTTATCCTGTAAAAAGAAAGATTTAAAATTAAGATGCATTTTTCCTGTTGAGAATTTGCAATCCATTAATAAGCTATATTCCAGATCAGTTGGATAGTTTCCAGGATTTATCTCTGATGTCTGGCAGTTATGGAAGTTGAAGTCCAATAAATTCAGAGATAGTTACAGTAGATATGAGGAGTCTGCTTGATTTGGAAGGTCTGAAACAATTGATTACTATTTAGAAAAGGAAGAACATTGAATGAAATCATGGTCATAAATAGTATATAAATATTTGGTTTTGAGGATTACAGTAATTTTTGTAATCACTCTTCTATAGGATGACTTTGCACACAACCGGGAATTCATCACAATGGTGGTCTATAAAACTGATGGGAAAAAAATATACTACCCTGGTATGTATATCACAATTTTCTTTCCTACAATTTTTCTTTCTTCTTGATTTGTTCTTGAAGAAAGATAGGAAATTTGGATATAACTTTGGGTGAGAAATATGTTTACTAACCACAGTATCCATTAGGACTAGAGCAGGTGTTGGCAACTCGCAGCTCCAAAGTCTCATGCGGCTCTTTGGCCCTCTGCTGCAGCTCCCTGTCCCATCACTGGCTGGCCCCTCCCCTCCCAGTCACTCCTTGCCTGGGCTGAGAAGGTAACGGCGGTGGCAGTGGATGGAGACTCACTCCATATTTCAGACTTGAGCAAAGCGCCCCTATACTTGCCCCTTCTTCTGGCTCTTGTTGGTGCTGCATGCACCTCGGCAACTTGGGGAGAGGCATGACTTTCTCACTGACCCAACCCGACTGAAGCCCATGCCGCTGGTCTCACTACCTCCATGGCCTGCTTGCTGTTCTTGCAACGCTTTGCGCAGCACACTTAAATTTAGCACGCTTCAGAGTGGGGGAGATGGCGTCCCCTCCTCCTCCTCCTGGAGCCCATTACGATGCAGAGCATCGGCTGCAGTCAGGCCAGTGTCTCAATGTGGAGAGACAGTTGCACGTGTTCCCAAATGGTTGAGGAATGCCTGGGAGAGGTGACTGGGAGGGGAGGGCGAGGGGCAGGGCCAGCTAGTGGTCGCTTCAGCTGACAGGAAGCCACAGCAGGGGGACAAAAGAGCTTCATTTAACTGGGAAATGACTCTTGATTTAAATCATATGGTAAAAAGCACCCAAAGAAGAAGAAACATCGTCAAAAACTAAAAACAAAAAAACCAACCCTCGCCTGTTTTTGGAAATGGTTCAAGAGGGAACAACACACACATACACACACACACAAGAGAGAGACAGAGTCAAAGATGAGAGCGAAAGAGAGAGATGAGAGAAATAGAGATGAAAGAGAAAGATGATGGGAGAAAGAGAGGAGAGTGAGAGAGGAAGAAATGAGAGGAGAGAAAGAGAGGAGAGAGATCTATTTCATAGAGAGAAAAAAAACTGGGAGCCACAAACCCTGGGTAGGTGTGTGTGGGGGATCATGTGACTGTGTGAGAGTAAGTGACATTGAGCTGACCACACCCACCCAGGTTTTGTGGCTCCCGGTCTTTTCTGTGGGAAACTGGTCCAAATGGCTCTTTGAATGTTTAAGGTTGCAGGCCCTGGACTAGAGGGATGTCAAAAAAGGCAAGATGATGGCCACAGCAGCACATTGGACAAAAAATGGTCAGAGCTTCAATACTAATGCCATGGTGATCATAAAGCTTCACTCATTCACCCTAAAATATATTTTCATTGATTTCTTGAATTGAAAATATGGAATAGAAATGTAAGATCTACCTATCTCTCCATGTTTTGGTGCAGAGTGTGCTGTATTTATGTTGCTTCACTATTAATACCTTAGTAGAAGATTAATTTATTAATTATTTTAATTAATATTAGATTGGTCTATTCTAAATTACATAACACAAATGTACATTTTTAAAATTTTCAGCTGATCCTCCACCCTACATTGATGGGATTCGAATCAATAGTCCCCACTATCTAACCAAAATAACACTCACTTCTCCAGGAACTCACACATTTACACTTGTGGTTTCTCAATATGAAAAACAGAACACAATTCATTACACCCTCCGGGTAAGTTTATATGTAATCTTTTAAAAATATTAAATGGAAATCATTAATACATATCTTCAACTTCCATGACACCAGTTCTGAAAAAAAAGCATGTGTATATAATAAGCTTGATAATGACCGTCCTCAGTCTGCCACTGATTAGGATATTTACCACCAAAATCCAGAGTGACTTTGTTTTCATTTTTTTGGCCTCTGTAATCTGGACAAGTAAGAAATGCCACAAGTTTAAGTTGCATGAAAATATTGCCAAATAAAGGATTGTGGATTGTAGAGGAATTTTTGTATCTCAGGGGTACCTAAATCCTACTGCCAACTTTAAGAAGGGGAATTTCCGTCTGTAATCCTGTTTCATCAAGTAGTTTTATTTGAGGCAATTACTTCCTTGGCATAAAAAGTAGGTCATAACTATGTTGGACACTAGGGGATCTGGAGTATCAGAAGATTACTACAGATAAAAACTTATTGCTCATTTTGCTGTCATGGATCCAAAATAATCCGTGTCCTCTGAAATATTATTTTTATGAGTATTCTGGGTATGTTTATTTTAAAAATAAGTTTTCCCATTATTTTCAAATCTTCATCCCAAAAAACATAAATTTCAAAAAGTTAATAAGATTTTGCACAAAAACTATATAATTATATGGGTGTTCAGTGAGAAGAAATCAAAATTATATCGTTCCATTTAATTCCAACCTTGTATGTTTTCCCAGTACACTTTCTTTTTCTTGGTAGTATAAATTGTTCAGAGTTAAAGATTAATTTATTTTGGATCTTAGGTGTATTCAGCATGCAAGTTTACCTTTTCTAAGATTCCAACACCATATGCTGTATCAAGAAGGGTAAGAAATAATTTAAAAATTAGTTAAAATTCAGCTACTATATTTTACACAAACCTAACTATATAAATGTTAGTTATCCATAGACATACAAAGAAAGATAAAGATTTCTTGCAGTCTTCCTGTAAAGACCTGACTCTTTCTTCTTCAACTGACAAGAATGAACTTCTGAAAGCTAGGTACTTCAAAAGGAATTCTTTCTTGAAAGGAAGTGATCCAAGTACTAGCCAAAGCAGGATCTAAAATGCGTCCAGGCATACAGTGTAGATAAAGGGAGTTAGAACCCCTCCCCTTTTTCTGGGAATGTATCTTAGAAAAGTTTCCCAGGAAGTTTCTTTCAGATCTGGAATGTTTATGGTCCCTTCTCCTCTTGCTATCTCTCCAAGAGGTGACAAGGTTCCAGGCATCTGGGCTCCAGTCCCCAGTTGTATATCATGTGCAAGTATACAGATTCAGTACAAGAATTAAGATATTCAGGTTATATCAAAAATGATTACTTGTACCAACTCTCCTCCCCACTTTCTTCTTCCATTCAAGAATGGCAGATACACAGATCTGACACTTCCTTTGTGGGTTTTTATCACATAATAGTGCATTAGCTACTCCTTCGATTAGATTGAATAGAAAAACTGTTCCTAATGTTCAGGTGTGTTGGGATGCATGATAATTGAAGAACATTTAATTGCATAACCGGAATTGTTTAGCCAATTTTATTAGCATGGATAAAATTAATTGTAAATAACTTTTGAAATCCCATGTTAGTCAGAATGACTCAGATTTCTCTTGGCCTCCAAACAGGAGAACCTTTAAGGCTCTTAGAATAGATAGAATAGAATAGAATTCTTTATTGGCCAAGTGTGATTGGACACACAAGGAATTTTTTTAATTAGAATAATTACTTAATATTTAATTACTAAATAAAATAATTACTTAGAATAGCCCTTTGGCTGAAAATGCTGGTCCCAACATATGTAGAGGTCACTAGGTTGAGAGAAAACTACTGTAAGGCATAGTATTTCTCATTAAGCCATAGTAAATAGGTTTCCATATCCTTTGCCAGAATTAAGTGATCCCTCACAGTTTGTCCCTGATGTATTATTATCAGTCAGATTATAGAGAGAAATGAGCTAGAAAGGAGTCCAATGATCAGAAAATGTAGTTCATGTTACTGATCCAAATCCAATTTCCCTTTCTGGAACATCTTGTGTCCCTAAAAGTATGTACAGGTAGTTCTCGACTTATGGCCAAAATTGAGCCCAAAATTTATGTTGTTAATTAAGATATTTGCTAAATGAGTTGTCCTATTTTATGACCTTCCTTGCCACAGTTGTTAAGTGAATCACTAGTTAATAAATTAGTAATCCAGTTATTAAGTGAATCTGGTCATAAATATGAACCAGTTGCCAAGCAGCTGAATTTTGATCACATGATCATGGAGATGCTGCAAAGGTCATAACTCTGAAAAACAGACATGAGTCACATTTTTCAGAGCCATTGTAACATTGAACAATCCCTAAACAAACTGTTGTAAATTAAGGACTACCTGTACTAAGCATGGGATCAAATTAAGTTAATGGGATTTGCTGAGGAATGAATTTTATATTTGAAATGAATAAAGAGGACTGATTAAATAGGAGAGATGAAATTAAGTTGAAAATAGTTTTTTTAAGAACAAAGATGAAAATAGATGTGCTAGCTAAGAAGCTTTTGGAGTGATTTTCTTTCAGATGAATGGACAGTGGAAAGGTCACAGCGCTGGAGGATGTGGAAATTTTAGAGATACTTGCAAAAATAACCCTATATACCAGTTTCAAATGGACAAGACTGGGCCACTCCTTCTTGAACTAAGAGGACCAAGGTTTGTATTAGTTTTTAATAATTGGAACAATGTTAACTACCTACAGGTAAGACTTGCAGTTTCAAACTTAAAATATTTAGATTCACCAGTTAAAATTAAATTATACTATCCATAATTTTCAGCCCATATTGTCAGCAGTAAGAACTAAATATAATTAGGTCACGAACAAAAAATCCACCCGATTTTTGAAATGGGTCATGATTCAAAAATCGGGTAGCGAACAAAATTGGCACAGAAAGATTCCCTTTCTGCATCAATTTCCCCTTTGCTGCCATTTGTTTTGCCCACGCATGCGTAGACAGTTGTGCTTTTGGATCGGATTACGGTCGTGATCCGAAGCTCTACTGTAGTCATTTTTTAAAAAATGTTGTTTATCATGTTCAAATTTGAGCTCAACCTCAAACTCTGAGTCTACCTCCATATATTACATTAAGACAGAAACAAATTATTATAGATTTCAGTGACTATGGCACCTTTGGGAAAAGTTAAACACTCTGTTATGATTTAGCACAAACTGTGGATCAAATATGGATCCAGATAAAATCAGAATATACACCACTTTTTAAAGTTCTAATTTTGCTTTAAACTCAGAAACTTTCCAACTTCTGATTCATTTATAGGCAATACAGTGTTGGACTTGAAGTTGTAACAGTCTCTTCAATAGGAGATCCGGGATCTTTGGGTTTTCAAAAGAAAAATAGTGGTGATTACAGGTAATAGCTTATCTCATAAACTGTATATTTTATCGCTGTATGAGATCTTATATTACAGTAGCCTTCTCTCTGTATTTCACTTTCCAAGGTGTGGCTTTTGCTATCTGGAAATCGAGAATATACCTCCTGGTACGTACAATATTATTCCAAGCACTTTCCTCCCACAACAAGAAGGACCATTTTTCTTGGACTTCAATACTGCTATCCCTCTTAAAATATCACAGCTCCAATGAGGTTACCTGCAAAACCATTTTTAATAAAAATGGCAAAAGTATAGCTGTCATACTGAATCTACTGAGAAAATGTTTATATGGGAATACAGAAAAGGAATGTGGACTGTCATAAGAAAAATTGCACTTAAAATTGGAGTGCTTAATATCTTTATGGTTTGCAAAGTGGAAAACATTTCTGTTATTTGTGCTGTGGCAAAGTTGAGGCAAGCAAAAAGATTTGCTTATTTACCCTGATATTTAATTTTGCATATATATAAAATTGGCATTTTATATATATTATGGGGATTTTTAAAATTCCATTTTTCTCGTCAGCTTTGTTTTTTCTTAGTAGTATGTCAAACAGCTTCAATTCCGTCTGCTTAAAATGGATAGTTGTCCTGTAGAAAAATAGCTATTTTTCCTACTTCCTTATTGAGTAGAGTATCAGCTGATTATCTGGGGATGGAGTAAAATTGATGTTTATATATCATTGCTTGGTGGCCACTGCTATCTTCATACAAGAGTTGAAATAATTAGATACAGAATCTATATATCTGTTATTAGAGTGGCATAGTTTATAGATCTTCATTCTTGATTTATCATACATGTTTGTCAGAGTAGAATATGGGGCATGACTGATATATTTTCTTTGGGTTAAAAGCTGCATCCTTAGACTAAAACTCCAACTTTTATTTCATGACCTCTGTTATAAAATCCTCCAACATAGTTTCACACCAGAAATTTAATTATGTTAAAACTATACACAAACATTTGAACGCTTGCTATTATGGCTGATTTCCCTAATATCTTGGGAAATAATGGGTCTTCTACTCCATTAACAGTACTTGTTATATATTTAGAATTCTCAGAGAAATATATTACTGTATGAATGGTTAGATTACAGAAAACTAGCCCAGGGCCCCCCTTTTTTAATGACCTTTTAATCCTTCCACCCCGAAAGATGGAGTCAGGCTGAAGGAGTGGACCTGAGTGCTTACTGGCCAGATGCCCTTCCTGACACTTATGTGGAATTCACATCAGATATTTTCTCTGTGCCCTGATAGAGAAATGCTTAAGTTCTAGAATTAACTCTTCCCCTGTCCCTTACTAGCCATGTTGTCCTAACAGGAAAAAGATCTACAATTTAATCTATCTGAAACAAATTATCTCAAGTGGCTCCATAGAAATATGGTTACACTACACAATTTAATTGTATTTTTTGTGCCCTTTCCATTTTATTTGCAGAGCCATTTTAAAAATTTTCTCCCATAATTTTTTTAGAAAGACTCTATTAGCCAGGGCACTGCAAATAAAATGGGAAGGGTACAAAAAAGTACAATAAGTTCTGTAGTGTAACCATAATGGTCTTTATAACAGATCAGAAAACATAGAAAATAGCCATTTCTCCATTAACTAGGATGTTGATAATTGTGGTCATGTGTAAGGGCCAAAATTTACCACCGAAAAATTACTGAATGTCATAACAACCATGAAACAAAACTGTTTAATTTTGTATTGCATAGGTTTTATAAAGGCAATCCCTAAACTTTGAATTTTATTATAGGTAGTACCTATACACAGACACAGATTCACTACTAACATTTCTACAGCTGGATGAAAAACTCCTGCACGCTTTCAGTTTTAAGCTGTATTTACATGTTTAATCAACTTTTCACTCAGACAAACCATGCAAAATTAGTACTTTGATGAAAATTTCTGTAGTCAGATGGAGATGCATAATTTTTATTAATATAACCAAAGTATTTTTAAGGTTTTGAGTGAGTTTATGTGCTAAAACAAACACAACTTGCATTTTCGAGAATGTTAGGATTGAAAGTAGCCAATCAGCAGCGAGTTTTGGCTGACCAATCACAGAGGCTAAATCTATGAGCCAATCAATGTTGTCATAATCTCTGATTATAAATAGGCATGAAAAGCATCAAGAAATTTAATTTAGCTCTGGCTTGCGGGCAAGGATGAAGACCTTTGCTGTCACCAGTACTGAGCAGCAGTATCGCATTGTGCTTCATGAAAGGGTTACTCCTGAACAGAAATAGCCAAGAGAGTGAAATGCCATTGCACCACAGTGAGCAGAGTGGTTGAAAAATACCAAATAACTGGTTGTTGATGACAGGCTCCACTCTGGAAGACCAAGAAAGTCAACAAAATGGTAAGATCAGGCTCTGCAACGCATTTTGATGGCTGACAGGAAGGTCACCTACCTCAGATTACAAGAATTTGGGGTGAAACATGTGATGTAAAAGTGTGCACAAGCACAGTGTGTCGCAGACTGCTTGTCAGAGAGCTCAAAGGCTTCAGGGCTCGAAGTAAACCTTTGCTCACCGCTCTCATTGATGTGTGTGGGCCAAGAAGCATGCCAAGTGGACCAGCGAACAGTGGGCCAAGGTCATCTTCAGTGAAGAGAGCAATTTCTACTTGACTGGGAATCAGTGCAATAAGTATGTCAGAAGATTTCCAGCTGAAGAATTTAAGCTGTACTGCCTGAAACTATCTGAAGCATCCATTGCACATGATGATCTGGGGCTGTATCACTGCTTCTGGTATTGGTTGGATACAAATTGTGCAGGGAATCATGAATTCCAAGCAGTATGTTGAAATCCTGGAAAAGACCATTCTTCCTTCAGCTCAACAACTTGTAGGGAAGGACTTTTACTTCCAAGATGACAACATCATCAAGCCAAGTCCGTCCAGCAGTGGATGAAGAAGCATGGTGTTAGACTCCTGGCTTGGCCAGCTCAGAGCCCAGATTTGAACCCAATTGAGAACTTGTGAAATAAGCAAGAAGCATCCGAAGACCAAGCAGGAGCTGATTGAATCCATTATTACAGCCTGGCATCACATTGTCACCAAAGATCACCTGCAAAGTCTATGCCGAAGCGATGCCGCCTGTTGATAAGCAATAAGGGCTGGCCAATTTCATATTTGTAACCATATTTGGTTACCTAAACGGTCCTTTTCAGGTCCACAAACAATAAAAATGTTAACAGAACACTAGCATCGGCATTAGTAATTGCATCATGTATGCCACTGGGTCCTCATCAGTTAATCTGTTTTCATAGTCATTGTAAGCATGCAAGAAAATTGACAATCCCCATCAAAACAGCACCAAATTGCAAAAAGCTTATGCTTTTCACTTAAAAATCATTAGTATTTATTTAAATATAATAATGTTTGCACAGCAGTTAGCATAAAATATAAAATCAATGACCTATCCAAAAAAATGCCATAAATCATAAAGTGTGCAGGATTTTTTCACACAGCTGTAGTTCTCACTTTATTATTACCATTCCAATTG